TATTATTATTATTATTATTATTATTATTATTATTATTACTATTATTATTCCTCAGTGTCCTCAGGCAAACATGACATTCTCTCAATAGCAATTTTCTATATTAAACTTTAAAGTAATTCTGAATATTTTTATATTTATTATTTCCCAATATTCAATTCAATTATATAAGGTAACAATTATGGAAGCAATCTTGTTACGATTTGCTAATATTATATTAATATTTACTTCGTAATTTAGGTGTTATAAAAATGATTTATAGATTTCTAATAGTAATTATGCTTATATTTTGGTAGGGGCTGTCATTTTTCTAAACTTTTCTAATGTTGGCAAAATATTATCTGAAATAGAAACTTTATCAAATATATGTTAGGTTTTGCTCAATACTTATAATGCCAATAAATTAACTTCCTTATTGGATGAGTCCAAGCATAGCTATAGCAATCTAGGAAGAATCTTAAATTAAATTGTATATATACCTTATTTTTTGTGTATTAATACTCTATTTTTTCCATTATCATTTAAGTTTGACTTAGAGCTACTTCTTATAGTTTTGCAACGTCAGACTCAAGACATTTAACATATAGTGGAACAAGATGAGTTTAAATTTCACTATCAGGTATTTTTATTTCATAAAACTATTTTATGTTTTAAACCAAACAATAAAGGGCTTGAGCAGGCATGCTTGGTAATCCAGAAACCTTTTTAATATAATTCCAACACAAAACAATATATTTCTCTTAAACTGCTTAATCAGGCATTTTAGAAACATCAATAGCAATGAATATTACATTTTGCATTAATTTTTCATTAGTTATCAAAGGCATGATATTAGGTAATATATTTCTTACGATTACTTACCTTTCAAACTCATAAATATAACAAATATATACTTTATAAATGCTTTTTGATATTTATTTTAGTAAAGCTGCCTGTTATTCAGAATCGAATTACTGAAATTACTTAAGTGAATGCATCAATCGAATTAAAGGATCTAAAAAGAATTCATGATGATAAATATCAATAATCGCAGGTCTTTAACTTAATTCTTTACTGAGCATCTTAATGATCAGATCTTTTAATGATTGATCTTAAATTTGAGTAAAAAAGGGGCTTTTTTAAATAAATGGCAATAAACATTCAAAACTAGACTGATATTAGGTGATATGAGATATTTGGAATAAAATTAGATCTTTCATTCCTGTCAATTGAAACCTCATTAAACCAGCCAATCTATAGTAATTTATTAAATAATTACATCAATCCTAATGAAAAAATATCTGATTAATATGATCCTAATGATGGATTCAAAGTTAATTCTGGTGCCATAAAAGCTAAGTCTGGATACAATTACAATTATTTATCATATGGTTTAGGTATTAAATCAATATCCACATTTATGGAATTGCCCATAGGATTTGGCTAACTGAAAATGAATCCTCCTATCTAAATTTGAATATTGAAATTACTTTGACTTTTCCTTCTGTTGTTATATAGATATTATCTGGGGAAAGATTTAAATGATTTAATTTTGCATCATTATGTAAAAAGCTTAATCCTTCAATAATTTACAACATAATTAACTTAATATCCATTATGCTGCATGAAATTAATTTATCATCTAGTTGTAAATTTGAATCTTACTTTTGATTATAGAATTTAAGGTTCCAATAACTTTTTCTGTCACACAAACAAGTCTTTTATGATCTTCTCCAGGTGGTTCAATTACTGAGAGAATACAAGGATGTCTAACCGATGCTAGCTTTTCTCCTTCTCTTCTTAAAGTGGCATATATCATTTCTCTCTCCTTTTCATTTTTTACTAGCTTATGTACACTTCTTTTATCAAATATAAAAACAGAGAATTCTTCTTTATGCTTCTTAGCATTATGAACTAAATAGATCCTAATTTTTATTACTTTACCATAATGAGTTTTAGCCTCCAGTCAGATATGGTTTTTTGTCTATATCATAGTTTTTAATCCATTAATTTCCCATAATAATAATTAATGTTTTATATAAACAAAATGATAATAAGAAATTCATACCCATTCTGCATCTTCTGTAGTTTACCAGCCAGTGATATCTGCATTAGGTCTTTCAGTCATTGTTCTTATTGGAGAAAAATTTCTTTAGTTGCTGAGATTTAAACCTGTATTTAATCTGCTAGTATTTGAAACTTATTTAAAGGATGACTTTAGATTTATAGAAAAATTTTTAATTGGCTTTTTTGAAACCATAAGAGGATTAAATATCTCTGTTTATTGTCTATTTTCTCTGTTCTCTTGTTTACTCCATAATTATTATCTAGGAAACATCATTTAATTTTTGATCTGCCTTAATAAATTACTTCTTTAAGGTAATATGAGTTAATCATCCATATTTATTTGATTGAATTTCCTACTTTAACCTTCTGAAGAAGGCCTTGTATGAACGTGTAATTTCTTCTGTTAATATAAAGAACTGGCTTATATTTTGTTTTCAATTAATACTGGGTTATATTTATCTAAATTTATTCATTATCATACTTACGTAACGTAGTTCGTTTTGGAATGTTTAATTGAGTATCAACATGATGTTTAAGAGATTGAGGGTGAATGGAATTATTTGTATTTGAACGTATAAGTTTGTTAATTAGACATTCCAAATAGTATATATCTACTGTTGTTGTTGATTTCTTTTACCTCTTCATTATTTATTTGATATTAATATAAAATTATTTATTTGTTAGTTTTTTCATTAAAATTCATCACAATTTATAAAATCACAATCCTTAAACTATAATTTAAAGTCTATATTTTAGATATGTGATTAAGATGATTTAGATCATTTACTAATAAAATATTTAATATTTATATTAAAATAATTAAAATAAATGATAGTGGAAAATGAACATACTGATGAATTTCATTAATTATTGAATAATATAATCAATTAAAATCCTATATCAAAGCCATATTTGTTTTATTACTAAAAATTGAAATCAAATTAGAAGTATCATTAACAAATATTCAACCTAATAATATAAGAATTTTAATATCATACTTAAACTAAATTAATATTTTAAGATTTCTCTTAAATCATATCATAACATCAATAAATTTAGAGCTAAATTAAGTTGATTGATTAAATATTTAAAACAATTGAATCATCATAAAACTAATCCATTAATAAGGTTTTAAATTAAATATATTAAACTAAAGTATACAACTACAAGGATAAAATATTGACTCTGTTTTTAAATTAATTTTTAATTTTGAGATAAAATGGTATTGATAATAAACTATTATAATTGATTGCATTTATAAAAAGCACATAATTTTGTTAAGAGTTTAAATAGAGTTTAATTGAAAAATCAATAATTTTTTATAATAAGTTCACATCGATTGAATAATTACATTAATAATATATGGTGGAAGAAAAGATAATTGAATTATTTTAGGATACACAATTAGGATCATCCTTAAGAGAAGAGTTTTCAAAGGTTATAGCAAGAAATCTTAATGATACACCTATTCTACTTGAAAACATGTCTTAAATGAAAATATATTTTGAATTAAATTAAATAATAGATAGTAATATTTTGAAGGGGAAAATGTAAATAATTATATAATAATTTTAGTTTTGATATGGTTTATTAAGATATGATTAAAGTAATAAATAATGAAAATAAATAACAAATAATAAATAATTTATTTGAAACAAAAGAGTATTATGAACAAAAAGTTAGTGATCTTTTCTAAAATAATGAAAAAATAAAAATAAGTTTATCTAGTGCTATCGAAACAGCAATTTAACTTAAAGTAAATTAGTTGTCTGAATAATTATCATCCTATTTTGATTAACTTCTTATAAAAAAGTAAGAAAATAAGGATTTTGTAAAAGTATAAGAGAAGATTAAAAAAACTTTAGAACTTATGCCTTATTTTTCAGCTAAAGATATATTTGAACATTTTTACACATAAAGAATGACAAGAAGATTGCTTTTGGAATTATCAATTTCTTAAGAATTAGAAACAGATATCTTAATAAATTTAAAATAATAATGTGGAGATTAATATGTAAGAAAAGCTGAAGAAGTATTAAAAGAATATAAAAAATGTTATTAATATTAATATTAAGGAGTAGATGTTAAACTAGTTGTAATTTCCTAAAATTCTTGGACTTTAAAATAAGATTAAATTCCTAAATTTTTTTTGAAAGAATAACAATAATATTTTTTGGAGAGTTAAAATTAAGAATTAAAGTAAAAGATTTTATTATGGATGTTGGAATGTAGCAATTGTTATGTTAAAGGTTTCAAAAAAGTATATATTCTAATTTAATTTATTAGTATATTTTTATAGTATCTGCTGTTTAAGCTATGATTTTAGATTTATTCAATAATTAGAAATCTTATAAAGCTTAGGAATTCATTCAAATTAGTGGATTATCCAAGGATGAAATAATTAGAAATTTAATTCCACTTGAAAAGGAGAAAATATTAATTTTAGACTAAGGAACATATTCTGTAAATTATGAATTCGAAAGCAAAAAAACCCATATAAAAATAAATTAAATGCAAAAGATAGAAAAAAAAGAAGAAATAGAAGAAAATACATAAAAATTATTACATGATCGAAAATATGTTATTGATGCTTCAATAGTTAAAATAATGAAACGAGATAAACAACATACTCTTTAAGAAATTGTCAATTTAGTTTTAAAAGATTTAGGATTACCAATTAAAGTTGTTGATATTAAATAATAAATTGAAGTTTTGACAGAAAAAGAGTATTTACAAAGAGATCAATAGGATATGAGTTTATTTATTTATTTGGCATGATAAAGAATTAATTTATTAATAATTATTAATATAATTTGATACATAAATTAATGATTAACTTTTATTATTGAAATAGAGAAATAAGTTAAATTCAAATATTATTGTGAAAACTATATTTACTTTTACTAAAAACCTTTCTAAATTCCTGCATATATACAGAATTACTCTTTCTTATATTCACAGAGTCTTATCTCTAAGTCAATTTTTGAGGAATTATAGATTATCTATGTGTGGAGGGGATTCTTGGTTTAGATTCGTCATTTAAGGTTTTGCATATATTAGCAAAACTTTATTATTATTTTTACATCTTGATTGATTAAGATTATAAATTACTTATTATTTCATTAAATTAGCTAAAGATGCCTAATAAGGATTTGTAGTGTTATGTGAAGATGAAGTTTTATGTCTCAAATTAGATTAATAGGCATCATTTTCTAAGTTTATTTTTAATCTCATTTATTGCTTCAAATAGGATTCTAAATCAATATATTATTCTTTTACTTTATGGATTCTAACTTATATTGTTAGTATTATAATCTTATTATCTTATACTACGATAACTTTTAGATTAAGTATTATTTTAAGAACTTTTCGTTTATTATTTTAAAAAATAATCTAATTTATATGATTAGTTTCTAGATATAGCAGTGTCATTATTATGAAATTAAGTTTGTTGCTAAATTATTTTGCTGAAATTATAAATTTCAAAGGCATACATACTTAGGTGGATTGCTGCACATTGCGAATGAACGTTCTAAAGATTTACAAATAGTTTATGGTTTACTATAGGTAATTAGTTTTTAATTCACAACTTCTATTTTGTCAAAGAAACTGTCATTCATATTCATATTTTGAATTTAAATAATATTAAAATAAAATGAATTCGGAGAAATAAAGAAATCTATATTGGAATCATTTTATTGCAGGTTTAATAGGTGGATTTATAAGTGTTACTTTATGTCATCCTTTAGAAGTAGCTAGAAGTAGATTAAATTTATAGGTATACAAAATATAAAAATTAAGAATGCCACAAAATCTGTTAATAAATACAGTGGATTTCTTAATACACTTTATGTAATATTTAAAGAGGAAGGATTCTCTGGTTATTATAAAGGTAATTTATTATTTTTAAATTAAACAATAGGTTATCGAGCAACTGCCATAGCAAATCCATTATTTCATTCTCTCTTCTTTCCTTTATATAAATGGAACAAGGAAATATTGGAAATTAGATATTAAATCTATGGTTTTTATAACCATGCTGCAGCAACAGTCTTAACGGGATTTTTATGTGATTTAATAACCAATCCACTTTGGGTATATTTTTAGTTTAAGTATAATTAGCTTATTAGAACTAGAATGTAAACAGAATATTTGCATGATCATAATCATGTTAAATATAAATCAGTATTTGGAGGGCTTTTTGGAATGTACAAAGAAGTATATTTTAAATTTTTTATTGTAGGAAGGATTTTTTGCATTATATAAGGGTTTAGGTGCTACAGTTTTAGGATTGTCTCATGTTGCTGTATAATTTCCTATTTATGAAAAACTTAAATAAGATTATACAGATGAGAATGGTTAACTTTCTCCTATTGATATTCTTAAAGCTTCGGTATTCTCTAAATGTAAAAATTGATATTTTGAATATACAATTTAGCTATTGCAGTAATTGCAACATATCCTCATGTAGTAATTCGAACAAGATTACATGATAATAAAACAATATATAAAAATGGATTCAGTTCTAGAATCAGAATAATAGACATTTGTAAAGCCATTTATGAACAAGATTCAATCAAAGGATTCTATAAAGGTCTCATACCTGATTTAATTAGAGTTTTACCTTCTAACAGTATTACTTTTCTTGTTTATGAACTCTTCAGTAAGTATCTAGTCTAAAAATTTTGAATTTATTTAAAATATGTTAAAAGTTTAAGATATATTTTTAATCAATAATTCTTACAATATTTATGTATTTAGATGATAATAATAAAAATATGAATATACTAAGTTTTTATCAAAATATATATATATAGAAATTTGTTTTAATTAAAATAAATACTTATGTGTTAAGTGATTATTTATTTATTTTTTCATAATTCTTGAATGAATAAAAATACCAATACATAGTAATATTTATTAAGATTAATAGCGATACTCTTATAAAAGTTGTGATAGTAGGGAATTGCAATGTTGGAAAATCATGTATATTAATGAGATATTCTGAAAATTATTTTACATCACAATATTATAATACTATTGGTGTAGATTTTGTATAAATAGATTATATTTAGAGAAAACTAGAGTAATTAAAATAGGGAATTAAGATGTTAAATTGTAAATTGTATTTATATAAAATAATTAAAGTGGGACACAGCAGGATAAGAAAGATTTAAAGCATTGACAAATAATTATTATAGAGATGCCCATGGAGTTGTGATTGTTTATGATGTGACTGAAAGATCTACATTTGATGCAGTAGATAGTTGGATTGAAGATATAGACAAGTATTGATATACTTAAGCAATTAAAAAAAGGTTTGGGAGAAAAACAGTTTAAAAATTAATAGTTGGCAATAAGGCTGATATACCGAATAAAAGAAAAATAAGTAAACAGGAGGGTTAAGAGAAAGCCAAATAATTTAATGCTTAATTTTTAGAAACATCAGCTAAAACATCTGAAAATGTAGATAGATTATTTATTTCAATTTGTGAGTAAGTCATGAATATGAAATAGTAATAACCTTACAATTAAAATAATAATCTTAATCAATAATAATAGAATTAACCTAATGGTGGAGGGTGTTGTTGATGTAATTATTTATTTCTTTTTGTTTTTTAATAATAATTTTTTATGTATAAAAGCTGATTAATGGATTGATATTTTTATATATTAATTTTAATTAACTTTTTATTTTGTGATGAAATTAATTACAGATGGAATTACCGTCTGATTGTTATTTGATGTTAATGTGCTAATATCTGATATATATATATATAATAAACATTTATCAAGTTGATGAATTATGGAATCTCATTATATGAGATTAATGATTAAAAAATTTCAATATCTGAAATATATTTTACATTTTATTTTTAATAAATTTTATATAATTAGAATAATGCACGAAGAATAAGAAGTAGAGATCACAACTGATTAATTGTAATCAATGAAAATGTGTAAAATCTTTAAAGATCATGTAAGTTTGAATTGTAAAATTTAGCAAAAAGATATAAATGCTATAGATTTTTCAAAAGACGGGTAATATTTAGTCTCTTGTGATGATTAGGCTTTAAATGTATATGATGTACATTAGGGAAAGTAAATTAGTTTTTAATCAATAGGAAAATGAGAACTCTTTATAATAAGGTTAAGGAAATAGATCTTGTAAGATTTACTCATCATAATTCATGTGTGTTATGTGTTACAAAAAAAGAGCCTTATGATATATATTATTGGTCATTACATGATAATTAAATATTGAAGAAATTTACTGGTCATACGAATATGTAAATTTTAATTGAATTACTTATCTGATAGAATACATTGGTTAGATTTATCACCTGTCTCAGATGATTTTTTAAGTTGTAGTATGGATGGAACATTAAGATTATGGAATTTAGCATCAGAATACTAAACATCTGATGGTTTATTAGATTTATCTGCTAAAAAAACATTTAGTGTAGCTGCATTTGATCCATCTGGATAAGTTTTTGCGGTAGTGTTTTTGGAATAATATTATTGTATATCAAATAATTGGTTATACTTATATGATTTTAAAAAATATCATTCTGGATCATTTTAATCCAAAAAGATTAATTGTAGTCAAGTTAAATGTATTAAATTTAGTAATAACAACAAATATATTTTATGTTCTACAGGAGATGGTACAATACTTATTTTAGATGCTTATTTATTGGATACAGTATATAATTTAATTTATAAATAGATTTGTGAATTAAGTGATTTTAGCAATTAAGGATCTATGATAGAAGCTGGTTTTACTCCTGATTGTAATTATGTAATAAGTGGAAGTGAAACAGGTACTATACATATTTGGAGTCTTCCACTTGGAACTTAAATAGCTAGATTAGAAGGGCATTAAAAAAGATGTAAAGTTGTTAAATTCTGTCCTACACATTTTTTAATGGCTAGTGGTTGTAGAAATTTAGTACTTTGGATTCCAGATTAATTTTCAATTGATAGCATGAATAATAATAATAGTAAAAGAAGTTTAATGAGCATTTGAATTTAATTTATGTATTTTATCTATATATTTAAATAATATTTATAATATAAAATGTAATAGTATAGTAGCATAGAAGTAAATTAATTGTTTACAATTTTATCTAGTAATTTGATGAATTGATGTCTAGCAAATTTTATATTGAAGAGGTTTTCGATGAAATGTAAAATGATAAAGTGGACATACCAAATACAGATAAGAACAAAATCTTGTTAACACTTGTAATGTATATCACTATATAAAAAGGAAGAAAATCTTAAAGAGAAGAATGATTTCATACTTTCAGAAGATTATAATTAGTATCAATAATTACTTGTTATTTCATTGATTACAATCAATTTTTCTAGTGATGATCCTTTTTTTAGACATATTACTATGGTTGTAAAAGCTATCAAGAAAGCTATTAAGAAAAGGCTTACTCAAGACATTAATTACTTTTAATCAGTCTAAGAATATAAAGTAAGATTTATATTTTTTAATAGAGAATTAATAATCAAGTCTCTTTAAAATCTTTTATTAAGATATAAATATTGGTTTCATAACATCCACATTATAAATAAAGTCTACAGCATTCATATTTATCAATAAAGCATTAGTTGATACTTTTATTAATAAGAAAATATCAATTGAACAAAAAAATGAGCGAGCTAGATTGACTCTTTCTTTTTTCAATATAAACATTTAAAAAGAATTAAATGTGTAATAAGATTTTAAAAACTAATTTTTAAGAAATAATAAATTCAAAAATGAGTTTATTGTCTTAAATGAAGAATTTGATCAATAGAAATAAAGTACAACTTATCATGTCTATAAGCCAATGGATGATTAAATTTATTTTGTTAAAAGAGTAAAAAACAACCTAATTATAGATTTAATTGTAAAACATACCTATTAATGTTACATTTCAAGATATATTTAATACAAAAAGTTCTAATCAAGATTACTTAACAATTCAAGAAGCACGTATTCTTTTATGTATTTCACATCCAAACATTATCAGACATTATGACTGGTGGCTTGAATCAAAAAATTAACAATTATTCCTCTATACTCAAATTGAATATTGTATTTATCCAGGATATATCTCATAAACTAAAAATCTATTAAGTTATTCATATTTTTATTTGAATCCTATGCCATTAGAATAGAAAAGTAAATTAATAATAGAAATAATCTCTTAAATTATAAGTGGTTTAGAATATTTACAACAAAAATAAATTATTCATGGAGATCTTAAACCAGAAAGTATTATGGTAACTAAAAGTATAACTGGAGATATTTAAGTAAATCTATTATAATATAAATGAGGTAATATTGGCAGATTTGAATCATTCATACTCTTATTTTGAAGATATGCAAAAATAATTCAAATAAGATTAAGCTTAATATAAATAATAGAGTCTTTAAGCTTTAGGTGTATTGCTAATGCATCTTATTCTCACATTTCCTGGTGAACCAACATTAAGAAATAATTATGTAACCAAATTTTCAAATTACGATATTGAGGATTCTTTAAGTGAATTTGATAAATGGGCTTAAAAATCTGTAAAAAATAGACATAAAGAATTTTCTTTTTTATTATATAAAAATTTTATGGTTTTAGCAAAATCACTATTAAAGAAACAGTAATTTCATGAATTGCATGAAGTAAGAACTTTTATTTAAAATAATAAATAATTTGATCATCTATTAGTTTGATTTATTTTATAGTTTTTTTTATAAAAATAAATAAATAATAATGTAAAAGAGATAGTCTCATAACAAAATACCATCAGAAGTTGTATAATCTAATAACTATTACTTTATGCCAAAATCACTTCGGTATTTAATTGTTCTAATAAATTAAAGATCATCATAGACTTCTGCTGATAATTTAGAGATCAAAAAGGTTTAATCCACAACTAATGTAGATTAATTTGAACCACTCTATAATCCTGAAAAATTATTAATGAATACACATTAATAAAATAAAGTTTAATAATCCAATTAGGAATTATAATAAGCATTACACTATTCTGAATAAAACAATCAATATCTTTCTCGTTATCATTAATAATTACTATAGAATAATGTGGATCTCTAAAGTCTTTATAATAAATCAGAAATGGAAAATAAAAAATTATTAAATGAATTAAAATTATTGTAAAATAGAATTTCACTAAGAGAAAATGAATTAAAGTAAGCTTAAGAAAATGGAGTTGAATATATTAAGGATATAGCATAATTAAAGATTTAGATATAAAAAGTATTTTATTTGTGTTTATAAAAAGCTTAATTCTACATTAAATAAATTGACTGAAGAAAATGAATAATTTAAAGAATAATTAAATGTAACAGGAACTTAGACTTTATTATTAGAAAAAGGATTATCTAGTAGAAGAGATCTTAATTAATAAAATGAATTTAATTTTAGTGAATCAAGATAATCTGAAAATTCTCGATAATAATAATCTTAAAAAGATTCAAATATATAAATTAATTCTGTAATAACTCATGATAATATTTCAAACTATTAAAATTAAATACTACAATATTAAAAAGAATTAACTGAAAAAAATCTATTAATAGCCAGTTTATAATAATAAGTTAAAAATTTAACTGAGTTTTAAAGATAGTTAATGACTAAATCACCTAAAAAATTATAAAATAAAGGAATAAAAAGTTAAATTTAATCAAGTCCTTAATAAACACCTATATAAACATTACGTAATAATAATGATAGTTAAATAATGAGTAATAAAAATCTTCTACAATTAATTGATGAATAATATAAACCTAATTTTCAACTACATAGAACAAGATAATCGGATGAATTTGATGTAAAATAAACATTTATCATAATCAGGTTGCACCAAGTATCAAATCATCAATAACGAATTCAAAGAGTAAATAAGAATTGTAATAGATTTATAAGAAAATTAATTAATCTACCATATATACTGCAGGTTTATATTCAAGTTTGTTAGATTATTAATATCTATCTAATGTAATTATATTAATTTATATTTTTAGATTAAATTATTGAATTCTTCATGTACAAAAGATACATTATAACATTGAAGATCTCCTAAAATATTTTAATCTATAAAATTTATTAGTTATTAAATAATTTAATTACTACTTTATAATTCTATCAATATTAGATAAATTCTATTTATTTATTCTCTAAAACCAAAGATTAAAGTAAAATCTCTATTATTAAATATTTATTATATATATTTATATAAATAATAATATATTTGTTATTTTATATGTTAAATATGATCTTAATATTAGATTCTAAATTAATCTATAAATTTTTATTAATATTCATTAAAATTTTTGTTTATTAGACTCTAGAAATTGAAGTTTATTATAATTACATTTATTTATATTAATAAAATAAATTAAATGGATAGAAGTGATGAATAAGAAGAAAGTATGATTGAAGTTTAGCCTTAATAGTCTCAGGCTATAGAAGAAATAAAATTAGATAACAAAGAAGCAACAACAATAAAATAGTTAAAATAGATTTTAGAAGAATCAGATATTGATTGGGAAAGAGTAGATATATTAATTTATAAAT